CAAGAACATCAACCGGTACTTACAGCTTGGAGGCTGGTGGGCCAGTCCTCATACGCCGGATCCTTCTCGATGTCATTGAGCCAAATGATGACGTTGCCGCCTTCGGCAGCATCCCTAAAGTCATAGCGCTGTGGGGAGTCACCCGCGTTGGTTTGTGCGATGGCTGGATGTGACAAGAGAGATACAACTTCAGAGACCGAGAGACCCTGGCCGCGAAAGCCGTTGATGAGTTTCCGCTCGCGCCGCAGGTGCGCTAACAACGAATATGGGTTGACATCACGAGTGGGAATAGTTAAGCCGTTAACTACGATGAAATTGACGCCGCCCATCAACCATTGATTGTGGTTCTTCTCGAGACCCTGAAGAAATTCATCAGAAGCGTTGTGGGCAGCGATGATAGACGAGTATTTGGGAAAGTCCTGAACCAGCTTCAAAAGGGTATTCATGGAATCCTCGCTCTGGAGCACAAAGCTAGCAGCCTTGAGTCCGAGATCGGATACTTCGTCTTTGGAAAGAGGCTTGAGATCGGCAACATCTTCTTCATCATTCAAGCCAGTTTCCATTGTTTTCTGTGCAGCGTTCTTATCGCCCTCGGCTGCTTGCCTGTCGTCAATGACTATGTAGTCGGTCCGCTTCAACTGAAGGGCAACACCGTATCCATTGACTACTAGTGGCGACGTGGGCGCCTTGGGGGATGGCTTGTGCCTGATGCGGTATGATGTCTTTCCCTGCTTGGCGGTGGTGCTCAGTGTCTTGTGCCATTTTTTGAATCTTGGGGCAGTGATATCGGCGTAAAGAATGGCGGGTAAAGCTGAGCTGTTGCCCAGTATGCGGTCAAAGGGTAGTTGGTATGTACTGTCCAGTCGTCAGTGCCTCGTCTTCCCAAGAGCAACGTGGTACAGACCGTTCACTTGTAATGTCCCCAAAGGGCTCATCCAGATGCACCGAGCAATACTGTTTTCCATGAAACGAGACCCATAGATCACATGCTTCTGTTTGCTTTGCCGACAAGGAAGGCTCTACTGAAGTATTGTAGAACTGGTAGTGTGCCTCGATGCGTGGCGCGGCCGACCGAACCGAAAGCGCAAACTCGAAGGAGGCAAGAGCTTCTGGCTGAGTGATGTGGCCATCAGCATGTAGCAGGTCGACAAAGGCTGTATACAGCTCCTGGTCGGTCGTCTTGTCGTCAAAGTAGCCCTCGGCAACTCGGTCGAGAATGGGGTAGTATGCGGTCGCGTTCTCCTCGGCTGCAGTTTCTCTTCAGGTTGTTAGGTTGTGTATGTCGTATTGTTTTGGGAGCTACTCACAGTAGCTCAACCAGATATGGTGCAGGATTGAAGGCGGCCTGCAAGGCGACGTTGATACTTGGACTGGCCAATGTGCCCATGTGGCGGAATGCAGCCAGCACAAATAGCGCCTTTGCACCCAGGACAGAGGCCGAAGCTCTCATGGTGCCGGGCTTTATCCAATCGCTGTAGCACTTTGTCGTAGTGTGTGATGTAACAAGGCAGGGCTTGGTGTTTGTGTCGAAAGGTCAACTCTCGATGTTAAGAAGATGCAACGTGTAGCATAACTTGGCTGACGAAACGCGCACGCAAAAGCAGAGTATGGTGTGCTGCACAGTGCTGGATGTGGTTTGATGAGTCCAGCGTGCTGTTGGTCTTCAGAAAGAGACAGCAGCTCTTCTTGAGCAGGGACTTGACGGCTCAATGTCTTGACGACGTATCTTGGACTGACGGGCGCGACAGCATGTGGTACGGCGGGCGGTTGTGACCCAAAGCGATGCGGCTGTCTTATCTTATCGGTCCCTGCCTCGGAATCGTTCCGACGGCACGCTGCAAAAAGTAGGTGCGCCCCCGGTCACGTGACATGCTACCGCCGCTTCAGCTGGTACGCCATGTGCTCCAAGCTTTGGCAGCGCAACAATGCAATACGACTCTCTTCGGGGGCGGCGATAATTCATCAGCCACCGCAGGCTACCTAGCACAACGGCTGTGGAGGGGCTAATTACAGAAGCTTCTTCTTGTGCAGGTCGAGAGTCGTTGTCTGTCAACCAGTTGTTTGGTACTCCGGTAGAGATTCCAGAAGCCTATTTGTCGGCCCTTTTTTTGCCTTGTGCACGATGACATGGAACGAAAGGGTTATGGCGTGAAGAGGACAAGAATACGTTGTAATTTTGAGTAAGCCCCCGTGGCGCGGGCCATCTTCCAGCTACGCACTATCTGGTTACCTACCGTAACGCGTTCTTCCATGGCATTTGGACCAATTCTCTTTGTTCTCAACGAACTGCTTGATGGGGGTGTTTTCCATGGTAGTACCTCATGTTGCGAAAACGGGCACATAGCCATGTCATGCCAACCGGGCATGAGCATGCTTTCTCCGCCTACTACATCCAGTTCAACATACTACATCGGTTGCACAGACAAGGACCCGCAGACAGCCCGCCTCCTGTGTGCTTACGTATCCACACATGTACGGCCCAGCTGGAAACATGACATGCATGGTGGCCCTGCCAAGGTGGTGGATGCTAAGGGGATAGTGGGGGACAGGCGTGCGCGTCTGGCTGGGCCCTAACGGTGGACAGACAGGGCCAGTGACGCCAAACACGATACGTATACGTGCGACGGCCTGCTCCACCACCACCCCCCGGCCACGCTGACGACGGCGTCTGTCTCCGCCCGTGTGTTGCGTGCATTCATCTGCCTGCCCACGCCTGTCCGCTCTCCAATGCCGTGAATCCTCCTGCCCCATCCCTCTCCGCCATCTCCGCCATCATGCTCAGCGGCCCGCCCAGGATCATTCCCTTTGTCTTTGTCTTCCTTGCCGTCACTTTGGTGTGGTGGTACCTGCATGCTGTCCCTCGTGCAGGCGGCTCGTCATTGGCAACATGGAAGCCCCAGACCTCACCACCGCCCAACCGTCCCTCGCTGCGCGGCGACCCGCTCGACTTTGGCCTGCCCCTGCGCTTCTCAGACCCTGTGCGCAAGCCTCCGGGGAGCAATTACACGTACACGATTGTCGTCCCCAAGACCCAGAAGGAGGACATTAGCTGGATGCAGACCGAGATTCCCGATGCGCCCCTCGTAGTCTACGAAGTCGACAATCCCGATGCCGAGCACAAGATCCCCAAGAACAAGGGCCGCGAGGCCATGGTATGATGCCCTTTTCACACACGTGCTGCTGCCGTTGCGCGTGCATGCAGGCTGACCCGCGCCCTCCAGGTCTACCTCACCTACATCATCGACCACTACAACGACCTTCCCGACACCGTCATCTTCATGCACGCCCACCGCCACGCATGGCACAACAACATGCTCCTCGGCCTCGACGCTGCCAAGATGATCAAGCGCCTCAACCACGATCGCGTCGCCCGCATGGGTTACATGAATGTGCGCTGCCACCACGAACCTGGCTGTCCCGACTGGATACACATGGACCGTCCCGGCGGCGATTTTGACTTCTTCCACAAACCAGAGGAAATCTACTGGCGCAAAGAGGTCTGGGAGGAGATCCACCCCGGCGCCCCCATCCCGCCCTCCATCTCGGGAATCTGCTGCGCCCAATTCGCCGTCTCGCGCCAGCGCATCCAAGAAGTGCCCATTGAGCGCTTCATCCACTACCGAAAATGGCTCCTGACAACCGGCATGGACGATCAGTTTTCCGGCCGTATCTTCGAATACATTTGGCACTACATCTTCACTGGCCACGAAGTACACTGTCCAGCCATGAACACGTGCTACTGCGACGGCTACGGCTACTGCTTTGGTGGCCTGGCTAAATTCAACGAATATTTCAAGAAACAAGATGCGCGCAACGAGAAATTCAGCGAATATGACGGCTACCAGAAGAAGGAGAAGGAGGCGGAGAAGGACGGCAAAGACTCTCCCCTCACCGAAGACGAAAAGAAAAGGTTTGGCGAGCTCAGGGCTGAGCTTTTGACTATGGACCGCGAACTCGACGAGCTGAGGGAAGCGGCGAAGAAGAGGGGCGACGACCCTAAAGCTAGAAAGGAAGAGACTGAGTCGTACGATTCGAGCCACATCTGGGACTATGCCCCGCATGAAAACTGAATGAGCATTTGATGATTACGCGTGCATGCGGCATGCAGCGCGAACAAAAGATTAATAGGCGTTCAGCGGGCGTTTTCTTGCGAGATTAATGGCACCACATACGGCGGTTTTGTTTCCCTGACCCGGACATGGATTGAGCATGGGGCATACATGACGTTACCTAGATACCTCACACACATATACATATTTGTTTCCTTGTATGATAGATCTCAAACTTGTACATGCTTCTCTCACTTCTTCTCGTCCCATGCACGTGCTTGCGAGTGTCGTTGTAGTGAGGGTGCGCTAATCGTTCCTGTGGCTACAGTATAATTGGTACCACAATACGCTCGCTCATCACATGCTTGACCTGGCACACAAGAATCTTCCTGCTCTATCACTACACGCAAATATTACATTCTCGCTGGTAAAGTACTAGCAACACACTGCAACCCCACAATCATGACTCCTTCCTATTTGCTTTCACCACTGAGTGGCCAATGCACCTCACACCTTCTCGCAACTACCTCTAAGCAAACACTTCCTTTCTTCCACAACTTCTTGCTACCTGACCCGTTTTGCAACCAGAGGTATAGCTGCACTCAGTCTTAGGACAAGCCGTTTGCCAAATTCTTTGTTTGTTGGTGTTGGACCATTTCGCCGCACTGCTTGCTGTTTGTTTACTACTGGTGTCGCTCGCTCTATCGACTTCACTTTCACCTTTGATTCCTACCTTCACTTTTACTTCTACCTTGGCGGTCTCTTCCACCTCCACCCTCGTTTAGGAAGACGCTAGCTTGTCTATCACTCTCGTTTCCAGAGACTCTGGAGCAGTCCCCGCAGAATCGTTCTTTCGTTCTACTTTGCAGCGCATGCGACGCTCTGTTTTACTTGTACCTTGCGCATTCCGCAATAGTCAACACGCTTTTACACAGCAAAAGAGAAGATAACATGCCAGCCTTGAGCGACTACGCCCAATCTCAAGCTACTGGCTGGTCACCACCAGCACCTGTCACGCCGGAACTTAAAGCTATCCATGACATCAAGGTAAGAAGACCTACTACGCGATTTTCAACATACTAACTCTGACAAGATTGAATGGAAAAAACGCATACAGACTACACACAATGAGCACAAACGCGAAAAGCAACGCCTAGTCGTTGACTTGCATAACTTCGAAATATACCGTTCTCCAGATTACGAAAAAAGAGCGTACGAGCTAGCTTGCCTGCACTTTCTCGGTCTTCCGCTTAATAAGAAACTATGCTTCGATGGCTTTGTACGCCTAGGAAATATCGAGCACTATGTGCAGGGTGTACCATTCCAGCAGTGCTCTATCAAAGACTACACAGACAAACAAAATCCAGAGGTCACGTCCTACATCCAATCTGAAATAGCGGCCAATGACAAGGAATACGATATCTGGTATCGGCTCACTCAACCCACACCACAATATCAGCGCCTCCAGGACGCCTTCCTCTGGATAGCTCAGCTTGGAAAGCACGTCCTTCATTACATGGAAAGCGCTTCGCGCTCTCTCGCCTGCTTTCGTGAAGACTTTCACACCTTTCTAAAGGATTCTTTTAGCGACAATCGCGATTTCGAAAAATGGCATGCGACTTTTCGAAATCAAGTGGACTTCCGAGTTGCTGTTGTGACATATATTGAGTACCTGTACAAGGAAGCCTCTCATCGACCAAATCCTAATCAGTTTATTGGGCAGCCATTATGGGTTGAGTGCATGGCGAAACCTGTTACGCCTAATAACCTGCGAAAGACAGGTCCTGAGCAGACGGTTGCTACACCAACTGTTTATGCTTGTTTCAAAGACATGTACTTCGGAAAGCAAATTCGACCACAAGCCCCATCTAAGGAGGTCCTTGACAAGCAAGAAACTAGGAAAAAGAAGCTTGGGTTTTTGAAAACACCCTCAGCGTCGCTTTCCTATGCCGACTTGTCCAAAACCTGTCAGCCATATGGAGAATCACAAGTAATGGTTGGGGATGTAGTAGCCGTAGTCCCAGACAAAGAAGACAGCAAACTATGGAAATATACGAAACGGAATTGGCTAGCATATGTACAACGCACGCAAACCCTCGACAACGGTATTCAGCAACTGTTTGTAGTGTGGCTGTATTGGCCTCATGATACCAACATTGCCAAGGCATACTATCCTCTGGAAAACGAAGTCTTTCTATCGGACCATTGCAATTGTACAGAGAGAGCGCTGCTATCCACTGAAGTTAAGGGCAAATACGATATTGATTGGTGCCCTTCCATTATCAATGCGAAGCGTCTTTTCGTCAGGCAAAAATACATAACAGAAGGGAGCTCATTTGTGAGTATGAAGGACAATGACAAGACCTGCTCATGTCATAAGGAAACTACTCGTTCACCTTGCGCTACTACGTATAAGTCTGGTGACACAGTCTATCTAAAACCATCAAAAAATCACCAGTTACTAGAGCCAGTCGTTATCCAACAGATTGACCAAAAGAAGGGGTCGGTGACTGTGCGGAAGCTGTTGCGACTCGAGCGTGATTGCGCTGAGCTAGCAAAGAATCTGCACCGATCGAATATTGCTCCAAACGAACTTGTACTCACGGATGAATATTCCGAGACAAAATCTGATCGTTTAGAGCGTCACTGCTCTATAAGATTCGTCTCAAAATCAGATGTCACGACTAACAAGGTGCCCTTCCCTTACAACCGCCAAGGAGCAGGCCACCTATGGTTCATCTCAATGGGATTGAGTGTCAAGGATGACCAAAAGAGGCTCGTATATCTTCGGCGCCTGCCATGTAATGTGCGCCAACGCACGAAAATAGGTCTAGATACCAAACTGAGAGGTGTTAGCCTCTTCGGTGGTGGTGGAGTGCTAGACAGAGGTCTCGAAGAAGGTGGCGCTGTGGAGTTTCGTACTGTTGTTGACTCCAGTCAACATGCTATCCGGACGCAGCAAGCGAACATCAATAATCATACGACAGTTTGTCTGTACTGTGGCTCAGTAAACACCTTTCTCGATTCAGCGCTCAAGGGTGACACAAACTTCATTGTTAGAGTTGGCGACGTAGACTTTATTGCTGCAGGGTGTCCATGCGTTGGTGCGTATACTGAGTATTTGGTTAACTTAGCACCTTGCTAATAGTTCTCACAGCATTCTCCGGACTTCAGCAAAATCCCCTAAGCCTGAGCTCACTGCAAAACGCATCTCTCATTAGTACATTCTGCTCTTTTGTAGATCTTTACCGACCTTTGTACGGTGTACTGGAGAACGTATTGAACATTTCATCAGAGCGCGCCGGCTCAGCACTATCTCAAATGGTGGCTTGCTTGGTATCATTGGGATATCAAGTGAGCCATTATATCATGGATTCGTGGAATTATGGAAGTGCACAGCGACGATCGCGGGCAGTAGTCACAATAGCAGCTCCAGGTCTCCAGCCAATCGTGCAACCTTATCACACACACAGCCGATCTGATGAAGAGGTTCGTTCAAGAAGCCTAGGCCAATTACCCAACGGAGAATTCTGTGCCGGGCGTCAGCATTACCCAACACCCTTTTATCATGTCCCTGCAGAGACTGTTAGTTCAGGATTGCCCAATATTGGATACAGCACGGCACAAACATGTATACCATACCCGGACCACCGGATTCCGAACGTGCCTACTAGAAAAGATCGGGCCCTACTTGATTGCATACCAAAAGAACCCCCAGGTTGTGGGTACAAAGAAGCGGAAGACCTTGGGCTTATTCCGCTTCATCTACGCAGGAAAAGAGAGATCGGAAAATCCTATCAAAGAATCAAAAAAGATGGCTTAGTACCCACAATTACAACCGGTGCGTCTATTTCAGACTCAAGGAATGGTGCTGTGATGCATTGGGAAGAGCCACGTACAATCAGTCTCCAGGAGGCTCGCCGCGCGCAGGGCATCCCTGATGCTGAGCCGATTATCGGAACAATCAGAGACCAGTGGAGAATTGCCGGTAATGGTGTGGACCGTAAAGTAGGTTTTGCTATCGGATTAGGACTGCTTCAAGCTGTTGAAAGCAACGACCTAGAGTTCACATCGACCGGGACTGCAGAAACATCTTCTACTTCAATTGAAGACGCAGATAACCTTTCTCTAACCCCGGTGGACTATAGCACAAAGTCTATCCTACAACAAGCTCATGCCAAACGCACAAGGGAAGAGGACTTTGACTCTAGCAAACGGCCAAAGAAACAGGCACGAACCAGCATGGCGCAAGATGCCACTGCCAATCTCGAAAACAGGGAAATTTCCGTTGACCCAGTCAGAGATAGCAGACAGAGCTTGACTGGTTCAACAGGTTCAACAGGTTCAACAGGCCCCACAAAGGCAAGATACACACGGCACTCGGGACTGCCAGTTGAGTTTGTCCCGAAGAACTGGAGTAAAAAGGTGGAAGCAAAGCGTCGTGACCAGATCTGATTGATGACGACGGTAAAGGAAAAGGCAATAGAGCGAGAGTTTATTCCCTGATCTTATTGAGAAGTCAATCTACCGTACAGTTTACACAACACCACATGTACATATACTATGCCTCGTAATTCATACCCATACTGTACCTACACAGAAATTCCCACTCAAAAAAAAAATAATCTTCAACCTTACCATACCAAGTAGGTCACCTTACACATCCAATCTCCATGCTCTACTTCCACTCCACACCCCACGTCTGCTCCCCTCTTCTAAACGGCACAACCTCCACGCCTCCTTCTTCCTTCTTCAAAACATCCACAATCCTCTCTCCACCCCGTCTAAGCACAACCCTCTCCCCTCGGCTATCCGCAACCTGATAAAACGCCCTCCCCCACTTCCCAAAGAACCCCTCGAGCCCCTCCTGCGTCACCTCTTCCTTGGCGATAACCCGCCTCTCGACCCCCTTCTCGAGCGCATCCAGCACATAGCCCAGCGCATGCGGCTGGGTAAAAACGCCGGCGGCGACTTTATCCTCGCCCCTCTTCTTGACGCGCGGATGGGGCGCCGAATCCGTTCCGAGGAAGAACCTGCCGTTACTGCTCACCACGGCGCGAATCAGGGCATCCCTATCTTCAGGCGTCTTGGCAACGGGCTTGCAGAAGCAGAACGGGTCGCCGGCCCAGTCGTCGATGATGAGGGAGAGGTGGTGCGCGGTGATTGTTCCCGCGACCGAAGGGCCGCAGGAGAGGACGGTGGAGAGGGCGGCGGCGGTGCTGCAGTGTTCGAGGATTATGCGGAGGGAGGGGAAGTTTTGGTGTAGGGACAGGAGGGTGGGGAGGAAGGCGGGCTCGGCGTTGAGGATGGTGATTGCTTGGGTGTCTTTGTTGTTGGAGGAGGGGGCGTGAGAGGGGGTTGAAGGGACTTCGCCGTGTAGGTTTAGGACCATGTTTTGTTTTTCCATTTCGGCGAAGACGGGGTAGAAGGTTTTGTAGTCTAGGACGCCGGAGGAGGAGTTCTGTGGGGCTTGGTTAGTGGTGTTTTTTCCTTTCTTTCTTGAGAGTTTTATCGTGTGGTTGTTGATATTGATGTGGGATTTGGCTTACTGTAGTGACACCAGCAGGGTACGATTTCACGCCGGTGATTCCGGCTTTTTTGGCTTCACGAATGACTTCGGGTGTGATGTCTTCGTGCAGGTACAGGGACATGAGGTACTCGACATTTGGCTCAATGGACTTTAGTCGATCGCGGTACTCGAGGCATTGCTTGACTGTAGTGATGGGTGGAACAAGGTTTGGCTGTGTGATGTGTTAATTTCAGCCAAAAAAAAATAGCATTCATTTTTTTGTAACATCATTTATGGCAGGAGAGTATAAATTGCATAAACTTAAAGTAAGAAAGAAGATACACGTGACATGTGAAAAAGAGTGTGATGACTAAGGAGGAGAAGAAGGAAAGGCAAGATACCGTATGATACGAGGAACAGACAAGAAACAGAAGGGTGATGAATCCATCTGGAATCATGGTCATAAGATAATGAAACACAAAACGTACCATGACATAGACCGTATTCACACCTCCCTTACGAATAGTAGGCGTAACCAACTGAGACATTTCTCCATCGCGCAAGTGCACATGGGCGTCAAACGCCGCAGGCAGCTCAATCTCCTGAATCTTTGTGATATCCATCTTTCTCAACTCAAAGCAAGGTTACACAATTGGTGTTAGTTTGTCGTGTTGTGGGGGGTTGACTACGAGAAACAATTTTGAAGTAGGCCCAAATGCGGGGGGTACGCTAAGCCAAATGGGGCAGAGCACCACAACGGTAGGGAGATGGAGATGGCTGCAATGCATTCGCCCAAAAAAAACGTCTCTATTCGTGGAGCGAGTTGGTCTCGCTCATCTATCAATCGATTATATAGACTAGAGCTGCCTGGTTCAAAAATGGCAAACATGACCGTTATTACGCCCCGTCCAGCACTGATCTTCCGTGCCACATTCGCCATAGGGTATATTATATCCTCCTTACATGCACTTGCGCGTCAACCATCTTGCTCATAGAATAAAACCCCAACTCCCTTAGCCTGAATTAACAATCGGCGCGTTCAGCATCCCGGCCGAAGCTTCATTCTCCAGTGATATCTTCATTTCGAGCCACGAGTAAAAGTTTGGCGAGTTGCAAAATGTCTCGTACATGCCGTCTCTTGCGCGATGCCTTTGTAGCGGATTTGATCCACGGAATTTGACGCTGGTTCCGTGCTTGCTAACGCTGCTTAAAAACTCTCGTACCTGGAAGCTGGCATACCTACTGTTGCCTCCCGGCGTTACAACATGGGACGTTGCGAGATAGCGATTGATAGGGGCGATGAACTGAGCGGTGAGCTCGGCAAAATGCCGGCGTATAATGGGACCAAGGTCTTGAGTTTGATCCCCAAGCTTGAGCAAAGCGTCAATCTGCGATACTATAGTTGGGTCTGATTTGAGAAAGCGTTTTGGGGGAGTGTGGACTTCGATACCACCACCCGGGAGATCGAGAAGTGCGTTGCGGCTTGATTTGTGATGTAACGAATGGTGGCGACGCATGGGTACAGGACCGTCAAAGTTTTGCAAGTACAATATATGCGGCCGGGGTTGGTGGCTTGCCTCGACAGCGGCGATGATGCGCTTCAGTAGAAAAGGATTGGTGACACCAGCGATGAAGGACGTTGGGGTACCACCATCGATACCGATACTTTTGAAATTTGCTTGCATAGTCATATACGGCCGGACCACGCCAGCATAGGGGACCGGGCAGATAAGGTCAATCAGCGAAGACACAGCCTCGCTCGCTAGTTGGGGAGACTTTGCGATGACGATGACGCTTTCACACAGTATTAACTTCTCGTAGAGCACATATAGGTCGGTAATGCATGGCATGTAGTGCATGATGGTGTCCCAGGATCCAATCGGTTCATAGGCATAGATGGATTGAGTAGTGTCGGATATCAGAGGGTTGGGACCTGGAAGGCCTTGCAGAGGAAAAGCGCGATGTGGTGCAATGTCCAGTCTCAACATACTGCCCAGAAAAGGCAGGTCATGGTGGCCAAGGGCTGGGGGCATCCAATTGTTCATTTGCCGGTATGCCGCTTCCAGAGTGGTTGGATCACTGAGATGGCCTGATTCCGTCATCTTTTGCAAGATGCGGTGACTCAGGGCGGTAAAGTTGTGATGGGAAATCAAGACCAGGGCTCTTTGGTTGAAGCTCCTCTTCATGGTATCGTCAAATTCTTGGCGGAAGATACATGAGGCATAGAAGGTGACTGCGCTGCCATGGGGCGCATTGGGCGAGGCGAGCTGGATGTCAGGCGAATTGTTGGTAATGGCAAAGTCGTAGCAAAGATCCTCAGCGGTTTCGGTGTTTTGTTGCTCTGGGAAGCTGCAGACGCCTTAGACGAGGCCGATGTGAGTGAGACGAGGAAACGATACCTGTTGAAACAAATTGCGCTCAAGTCGCTCGTGGAGAAGGGGATGTGAGGCGGGTAGAGAATCTCGATTTCCGGACTGGCTCAAGTTTCAACATGCTGTCGCGAGCTTTGGATCTTTGGCTCCTGCCTACCCTATGTCAACATTGAAGTTGCAGACGATGCTGGGGCGGTTAGTCTTGGCTTTGGGGCTGCGCAGGTGGTGACTTACAAAGCCACGGCCCAATGCTTGAAGCCGCCCGTTGCGATGGGAGACAGCTTGGGCTCTCGCAGCTTGTCCATGTCGTCCTGTCGTCGGTCCCGACGATGGGGGGCCAGCAGCTTGTTCTTCAACCTGTGCATCGGGCAGCCTGACGCACCTGACCGGCGCAGGTGAACCAGCAAGAGTAATGGGTGTGAGGCAGTGGGCAGATGGCGTTGGCCAAAGCGAGGGAACCTGATGCGCGTCCAATAGGCTAGCCGCTCTAGCGGCAGACAAGGCTGTCGAGCGTCATGGCCATGGTTGCGGGGGCGAGGGAAGAAGCAAAGGGTCGCGGTGCCGACATGATGATGGCACTAGGGGGCAGCCATGGCATATCAAGAGAGCCTCTGCCCGGGTGCTGCGTGTGCGCGTGTGAAAGTATCGCGGGAGTCGACGAGCGGGCGCAGGGGTGCGGGCGCTTGTGTACGATGACGTGGGGCCCCCCGACTCGCGTGTGCATGCGTGTGGCTAGCATCGTCTTGTCTTCGTGAGGAAACACCAAGCCGCGGCGGGAGGGTGAATGGTCCTCTGCCTGCACGCACCCTGATCTACTCCGTCACCCCGCTCCCAGGATACGCAGCATGCGAGGCTCGGGCTACTGCGCCATGTAGACAAGACTGTTGTCCTGCACCCTCGACAAGCCCTCACCATGGACGCCAACATCACAAAAGCCCTCAACGACAAGCTCTACGATAGGCGCAAGAGCGGGGCACTCGAGCTCGAGGGCCTCATCCGCGATGCCCTCGCCGCCCAGGACCACGACAGGATAGCAAGGATTGTCCATCAACTGTGCCATGAGTATGCCTATGCCGTCCACCAGCCCCACGCTCGCAATGGCGGCCTCATAGGACTCGCCGCTGCCTCAATAGCCTTGGGGCCCGAAGTCGCCCGCTACCTCGAGGAAATCGTGCCTCCGGTGCTGGCCTGCTTCAGCGATCAAGATGCTCGAGTCCGGTACTACGCGTGCGAGAGCATGTACAACATTGCAAAGGTCGCAAAGGGTGAGATACTCGTCTACTTTAACCAAGTCTTTGATGCTCTCTGCAAGGTGCGCACCCCTTCCTTTCCATCTCGAGACTGGGGCTAACATGCTTGTGTCCAGATGGCCGCAGACTCGGAGCTGTCTGTAAAAAATGGCGCAGAGCTCCTGGACCGCTTGATCAAAGACATCGTCTCAGAGTCCGCTGCCAGCTATGTCTCCGTGCTGCAGACTACACCTGAGCACCACGACGGCGAGGATGAGCCATATCCATACGCATTCAGCCTTGAGCGGTTCTTGCCGCTTCTCGAAGAGCGCATCAACGTCATCA